TTCTGTCAACAATTGCTTCCTAAAAACAGGAAGCACCAAGTTCTATTGATATTAAAGGAATAAAATAATGTGAAATGCTGTCATTGCATGTCATAGTTGCCCAGTCACCATGTTTTAGTTAACTCTTGAGTAGACCACTATTAATTCTACTATTTCAGTGAACGCAACCACCAAAAATATTTTACAACTAATATTTTACTTTTATAATTTAATGGATGTTTATTAAATTGTTGTAGTGAAGTTTGACTAAATTGCTTCCTACTATTCACTGAAAAATTGGTTGCTTACCTGAGCCAACATACTTTCCAGGGTGCTGGAGAGAACAAAGAAAAACTATCTTAAATTAACTGAAATTAGTACTTGCATATGATCGTTGTTTTCTGTGGTAAGAATACTAGCTAACAGTGTAGTTCAGCATTTATAAAATTTTAAATCACAAAAGATTCTACAGGTTTGAGACTATCATTCTCAAGTTTTACATAATAAATAATGAGAAACCATCTACTTGTTTACTCCCTCCAGGTTACCCAGCTATCAAAATGTCATATATCTTGGGTATAGAGGCACATATGGATTGCTGTCTTACAAATCCCTGACTGCTCTCTCTTTTGTTTCTGACTGAAGTTGCAAAAACTTGTTAATTTCCTTTTACCTTTATGTGGGGAACAGTCCCTCTTTTTCCCCTCTATAGAAGACTAAACAACAAATGCCTTTCAAGTCAGCAAGACAGGAGTGATGCCTCTTCACTGATTCACTCAAGGACAGAATGAGCAGGCCTCTTGCCCTACCAGATAAGTGCAGAGCAAAGAAGCAGCACAAGGGTCATAATAAGTAGCAGAGAAATAGACAATAGGTTAAAAACTGCCTCTAACAGAATATGTACCTGGCCAATGGTGATTGGCTAATTCAGACCGTGGTGCTTTCTGGAACAATGGTCTCTGATCCATAAAAAAGAGAGTAGGATCTGCTCTCCGTGGGTCTCTGCTCGCTCTCTCTGCCTGCCTGGGACAAGACCCCACTGCAGCACCTGAACCTGCCTGAGTGCCAATCCGCTGCGAGGAGAAGCAAAGAGGGGGGCACCG